TGTTACCTGATTGTCTTTATGATTCCAATCTGACATACATGTCCATTCGGAATGGACATAAATTCCAATCCGACATATGTCCATTCCGAATGGACATAAATTCCAAACCGACATACAACATAGTTATACAGCAATAAATATATCAACGATCATCATGGTTAAATAAAGATTTTCGTGTAAATACAGTATGGGAAGAAAAAACTTGCCCTCTATATACGAGTAATAAAATCTCGCGTAGCCTGCCAAATTTAACAGATGTCGCGTAAACAAAAAATTTATTATAAATATTATTTCCTAGCGCGCTGTTGAGCATATTTCGCCTTGAATTGTTTCGTTATTAAAATTTCTCATAAATTATTCTTAAAATGCCTTACAAAATAAAAAACTTTATCTTGAAGTCATCTTACATTTCTGGAACGAGTGAGTACATTCTCCCAAAAAAATTCATAAAATTACAAACATCCCACTCCGGACTGTAAAATTTTACATTAAAAAAATTAAGAAAACTAACAACACGTTTATTGAAGTGCTGCTTGTCGATATGTATAAAAAACAATCAGACATGCATATTGATGATAGTGAAATTGATGACAGCACCAAACCACCAATAGTCAATGTCAATGATGCTATAAAGAGTTTAGAATTAGTTTGTTCCTTTTTGCAACAGCAAGCAGATTCTAAAGATTTTACTTAAACATGTTAATGCTCTTGATTATTACATTGGTTTAAAGTTGAGGAATGAAAAAAAACAAACGACTATAGACAATTTTTTTAGTAGAGGAGACTAAATAGTATTTTAATTTTATCTTTATTATCGTTATTATTATCAATAAATAAAATATATATATCACGTACAACCAATAAAATGCTGACTCTCTGTATATGCACACCCTCCATATATGCACGCTCAGCTCATTCCCAAGGGATGTGCATATATGGAGGGTAGACTGTACTTCGGAAAGAGTTACGTAAGCTGGACGTTGATTCTCTGACGATAGAAGCAACATACGTATCTCATATTACGTATGAATCGAAAAAAAGACAAAAGGAATTACAAGAGCTTCGTGAAGACAAAGGGTTTGATTGTCCTGACTTCTTTACCCTCGAAAAAGTGCAACAGCGGATACAGAAATACAATATATCTAATCCCCCCTCGATGCAAAGTTTAATAGACATAATGATAATGTTATGTATGAGGCCAGCAGACGTAAAAGACTTATGCATTAGTTATTACAAACAAAGTAGCGCAAACTGGTATATTCTTGGTATTATACCGGTTATGCTAAAAATAAAAATAATGAGCCACGTCCATTTCTCTCTATGGAAAAAAATCCGGTACGTGCTCGAGAATTACTTATCTGGATTCAAAAAGCTATACCAGAAAGATTTCCATTCTTATTAAAGAGTGAAGATGATAATGTAAATGTCCATCCTATTAATAACTTCTTACCCCTTATGGCATTAGTTCACGCCACTTAAGAAAAATAGAAGCTGATGGGTGCATGGAGGTAAGAACGATTCCCGTCGCCAGTATTTGAGACAACTGGCGTGTATACACAAAATAGGCCATTTGTCATTTGAACATTATGGTGTAGCAAGCTGAAACCATTGACTTGTATAATTACTAATCCTGCTTTTCCGATAATTTTGTCCTAAATTAATTATCCAAACAATAGTTGTTTTTTTCCAATATATACTAATTAGCAATGCCAAATTTACTTGATCTTCTTCCAGCAGAATTAATACCATTAATAACGAAGTATCTCCCCATTCAAGATTTTAAAAATAGCTGTAGTCTAGATAATATATGGAAAACCGAAGCAATTAGAGAAATTCGCAAAAGATTAACAGTGGATTGTACATTCCTTGATAATGAAACAACTGTTAAAGCGCTGATTGACCTAAATCCCGGTACGGTAGTATCAGTAAAGTTCTTGCCCAAAAAATGGATATATATATTTTTAGAGAGTATGGATCTAAATATCCCGCAGTAAAAGATCTTGGTATTGGCGGCGCAACAAATGCCGGCAAGAAAGTAATGAGGAGGGGTTGGATTGATAGAGAAAAAGTTTCTGTCACTTTGCCAAATATTTTTGAATCGGGAAAATTAAAATCCTTACCTCGATATTTAAAAGAAACATTTACTAATTTCGTAGTTATCGACAAGCCTGAATATGATTTGGTTTTAGGTCATATATGGCTAATGCATACAGGATATACAATCGAAATAAACCATTATACATTAATAGACTTAAAGAGATCGAAGAAAGAGAATTAGAAAAAAGCCAATATCGCTCAAGAAATAGTATTTGGGAATTACCTCATTCATTGTATACATTTTCTTATTAATACAAAACCGTTCATAAACTACAACGGCGACATGAGTAATTTCTACTTGTCGGCTAGTACTAGGTACTGTATGACTACAACCGGTTACAATATTTGTGGTACTATTGTACTGTACAACCGAATTTAGAGCTTTATTGACACCCGTACATTTCATTCTCGCAAAACGCAACACATTAACTATCGCGAGGAACTTTTATTCACAACGAGGTGCTCGCTAAGCCCAGTTTAAACTGTTTTTATCTTTTACATAGTAAATTAAGAGAATAAAAGCCCAGTAACACATTAACTGATACAAATAATGAAATTTACTTATTCATTGAAATGTTCAACGAGGGCATTTGAAAACAGTATGCCCACCAGCAACCACAGAATTGTTAGGGATATCGGGGCTAAATATTTCCCCAACAGGGTTGCTAATAAAATACTTATAATTAAAGGTGAGCAAATACATATTATATTGGAATTTTTTTGTTTAAACAAATCACGTGACTTCATCACGTTGACTATTACTTGAACTACGATAATATTTATTATTACAATGAATGTATCAGTCAACGTTGGTCTCCGTTGACCACTTTGTTCGCGACATTAGTTCCAATGGTAGCGGTTGTGGTTAACCCGGTGATAATCATAGTGAAACCGAAGTCCTACATATTTAGAAAGGCAAATACCGACGTATCTAATACTGTGTTAGCAAAAATTCTGGAGACGTAATCGT